GAGGGAGGGCCATGAGGGCGGCTCCGCTCCCGCCCCGCCCCCTCCATCCGGGTCTCTCGGCGCGGCCGTTGGTAGCGTTCAAACCCCGCGTCAGCCAATCAGACAAAGCATCTGTGTCCAATTAGCCAATCAGCACAGCGAGTTTTCCCCGCCCACCAGCAGCCGGTGCTTGTTACCGCAATCAGCGCTGTGCGTCTGCCCAGGTAACCTCTCACAGCCAATGGGAGCTCGCTGAGTGTGAGTGGCAGGTACAGCGACCAATCAGAGAGGGGCTAGGATGAAAGGCTGGCCAAAAAAGGAAGGAAAGTGGGCGGGGCGTATGGCGGTGCTGGCGAATAAAAAGGCCGCTTAGAGCGGGGCGGGGGAAGCGACAGCCAATGGGCTGTGRCGTGGGTGCGGCGGCTCGCGGTTTGAATTGGCGGCGGCCGCTGATGGCGGCGGGCGGTACCGGCGGTGAGGGGGCACTGGGGCTGGGGGTGCGGGGGGTCTGGGGTGGGACCGGTGTGTCTGTSSYGGGACCGGTGYGTSTGTCCCGKGTGAGGCCGCTGGGCCCCAGCGCTGCTCCGGGACTCCTCRGGCTGCTGGCGGTGGTCYCTGGGCAGGGCGGAGCCCCGGGCCKGCCGGCACCTGCTGGCTCCTGAGGCGAGGGGMTGTGGTGGTCCCGCGTCCTGCCCTCGGCCACCTCCCTGCAGAGAGCTCGGGAACCTTCCTGGGGGTTCCTCGGGAGGGAAATGGGAAATGGGGGAGGTGTTTACTGTCCTTTCCTTGCTTTAACAAGCATTTAGTTTGTGGGTGTTTTGTGTCCTTCAGGCTTTCCAAGAATTATTGGGAGGTCATTTCTAAGTGTGATGCTGTAGGGGCATTAGCTCTGTCGGAAGCCTGTAGTGATGGTGTTTCCACTTTTTCTTTTTATGTGAGGGAAAACTGTTGTGTTCATGTCTGTGTTCTCTGCATCCTGGCACTTTCAGTCTGTAAGTTTAGTATTACGATTTTAATTATTACATGGGTATTAAAACAAGGAATATTTTTAAGTACACCTAGGGTGGACCCTCATAAATAAATAAATCAGTTGGAAAATCCTTAAAGAAAATCAATGCCCAGACCAAAGCATGGGCTTCTTCAAGTATACAATGAAGTTCTTTGTAAATTCATATGCATGTTATTTGATATATCAATAACCCTACTGATGTCTCAGAAATAATCTCTAGGATTTAAGTYAATTTGTGCCTTTAACTGGAGGGTTTGCTTTCTTCTGAATTTGCATGGAATTGTCTTTGTGATAATCATTATTAATAATATAGTTTGAATCTTCCAAGATTATGCCTCCCTCCCCCCTTACTGCCAAAGAAACAGGTAATTTTATAACAGTTTCTGGTGGTGATATTGTAACATTCTGGCCGGGTGGTTTCCCCAAAGATTCTTTATAATTGGGGTTACTCTTCTCTTGCTCTGTCTTAAGCTGCTCTCAGAAAAATGAGGTGGGTGATTAGGACATAGGTCTAGGAAACCAAATTCCATGGAGCTGCACAGCTGTGTGTGACCTGGATATTGAAATTAAGGTGGCTGAATTTGTCTAGGATTGTSAAAGATTTGTATTATTGATTTGCTACTCATTACTGTATTAGGAACTTGGGTGTTATGAAGACCTGAATCATTTSCAAGAGCCCCTAATGTGATTTTCCTAAACTGTAGAATATAAAGTCTTTCCTGTATTGTTGTTATGCCAAGGTGCCCATTGTTTTTTTGTCTTCTGACTTTGCTATGTAATTTTATGGTCGTTAGGATGTTCTGTAGGGGTTTTATTACCTCAAGAGTCCTCTTTCAGACAATGCTTTAATGCAGTATTTGAGTAGGTGCTGTTTTAAAGAGGCTTTACTGTCACAAGAACAACTTCAGTTAAAATGCTAACAAAGGGTTATTATACGAGAGCAATTCTGTGGTTGCTGCTCTGGGCAACTTCTGATATCACTGTGTAAACATTGAAATCTGCATGTGTGATGAATCACAGAAAATGCACCCTGCTTGCCTCATGTGTGAGAGAAAATATGCTGCATGTTGGGCAGGTGTCTTAGAACAAGCTTTCTGGTGGAAGATTTGGGTAGGTAGCTCACAGAGTATGAGAGGGTTAAGAATTCTGCCTTTCCAGCAGGTGTCGGGTTTGATGGGCAGGGAGAGCACAGATGCTTTCTGTTTGAGAAGACAGGAGGCCTCTTTATCTGATGATAATAGGGTTCTTCTACTCAGTTATAATTGGTGTAGGACAATAGGTGAGACCATTAGACATATACATGCATATCAACTTTGTAAAGACTCTCAAGCATTTTTAATTTTTCTGTTAGTAAACAGTGCTGGTCCTRCTCTCTGGGTGCTCGTTTTTAACCACAGTATCTCTAGCCAGTTCACCTAAAAAATCATATTTTAGTATCATGCTTTGGTTACCCTAATTCTCCTGCTAATGCTTCATTTTAACAATGCTAATCTTGGTCTCAACTCTAGCTTTGTCACTGAAGGAAACAAATGCTTTTAGTTTGTTGGTGCTTTGTGGTTAAGCTTTTCCAAATGTACGCTACAGTTCATCCTTCCTTGTGCACAGAGAAATTGCTGAAAATTCCCTCTCTGAAACTGCTGAAATTCCCTCTCTGCAGCACTCTGTGCAGATGAATTACAGAACTATTTCTGTAACAGYTTTGTTGTCAGTCCTTTCYATCACCTGTGTTACTCTTGATGCTCTTTCAGAGCTGCTCTATCAGTGTGAGTGGGGGTTCAGTAAGGGCCTAAATGTTTTGTTTTCTGAAGTCACTTCTGACARCCTTAGTGGTAAACTGTTATTAATGAGCTTTTGGTACCTCTAACTTAGTTTGTCCCCTCTATCTTCCAGCTGTTGAAGAAAGAAACAAGGCTTAATCATGGCTGACAACAGTACTCTGGTGTCTGAAACCGGGAGGAGCCTCTTGGCTGATTCTTCTGTTCTTGATTCAAAAATTATAGAAACCTCCAAAGAGAATGTGTTTCGTGCAGCTGTTCTGGATGTTGACGGTAATGGGGGACGTTTATTTTAAGAATACTCTGTTTTTGCAATGACTGATTATTTTGTTGGTACTTTGTAGTTTTGAAAAACCAAAAACGCTTTGACCTCCATAATTATATGTAGAGTAGGCAAAAGGGTGTTGATCTGGGATCCTTTTATTAAYCAAGGGACTGTCTTAATTTTTTAACTCATCTTGTTAAAAAGATTTGGGGCTACAGCCCTAACCAAATGAGTTTTTTGGCTGTTGTRCAGAAAGCTGTCAGTTCCATTTGATGCCTCTTTTGTGGAATAAATCATTCCAGGTGACATTTTGACACCAGTGTTTGGAAACTACAGCTGCTCTGTTGGTTAYAAGTACACAGATTAATAGGTATCATAAGGTAGACAGGTGGAGAGATTAATAGTCTTGAGCCCAAAATTAATTTAAGAACAAATCTTAAAAAATTAATTTTAAAAAAATTAAAAAAAACACCAATGTTTTCCTCCAAGATATTAGCCAAAATCTACTGGTGGTTTGTTGATGCAAACGACATGGAGGCAATACCTGTTCTTCCTCCTAATATTTTGAAGGCTTATTAATGTATGCAAAAAAAACCCCAAGGCATCTAATCTCAGTTCTGATATTTCTCATAACTTCTCAGTTTCACCAAGAAGTAATAGGCCTTGTCAGCCAGCAATACAGAAAGTAGAAAAGATATCAGCTGTCTATTTTCCGGCAAATCTTGGTATCTATTTCTGCTAGAAGCACTGGGCCAATATTTTTTGGGGTTTTCATTTGCTTGTCCTCCATCTCCCCCAATTTATGTTCATGCTTTGACTGATCATGAGTTGCAAGTTCTTGTTTCACCTTATACTAGAAAGTTGGGCTCTAAGTCACTGGGGTATGCATTAATTAAAGGACATGCTTCTTGAGGTAACGTTTATTTTCAGGCTTGTTCCTGATAAAAAGCCTTGAAAGGCTGTTGTCTGCCTATATTCTTCTATACATTATTGCTTGATTTAGACATATCATGGATTTTTCTGCTGAAATACAAATATTATCCTTGTTTCTCTCTAAGCAGAAGAAATGCCTCAAATAGAAACAAGAGTGGTTTTGGTTCAGGAAGCAGGGAAACGTGAGGAGCTTCTGAAAGCCTTGGAGGTATGTGGGCCTGAGATAAAACAGTCACTGGAAGGACATGTTATGCCTTTAGATTTCTAGTAACCAATTATGCTTCTGTACTAAAGTTCTCCTCTTTCACAGACCATTAAGATAATGGAAGTACCTGTTATAAAGATAAAGGAAAGTAGTCCTGATAAATCAGAAGAAAAACTAATAAAAAGTATAATTCATATGGTATGTCATGCAATTAAGCACATATAATTGCATGCAGCATGTTACACTTCACTGGGACTGAAATGTGCACACGCTTTAATTTGGATTAATTGGGCATAATGATCATAATATATACTAATGGTTCTGATGGTGTCACAGCTCATCAAAATTAGTGCTCTTTTTTGCAAACACTCTCTTAAATATGAAAGTAATACCTGCAGCTCTTTCCTAGTGGTGTTTTCTAACATAGAAATACCCCTGGGGACGTCCAACTGCATGCTTGTGTTCAGTCACACATAAGTTTGTGCTATGAACTGRCTTGTGATTGTCAATTGAATTCTCTTTCAATTGAAAGCTGCATTTGAACTGAAGTGAAAGAAATGTTTTTCCATTTCTTGATATGAAAACATAAAAAATGAAGTTTGGAACTAATGATTGAAAGTGGAATGCACCAAATTTTTAGACCATTTAAAAATATGAAGCAATGAACAAAATATATTTCTGTTCTWTAGATGTTATGCAGGATGGAGCTTGCTGTTGCAAGCTGGATGCTACTTTTTAGTAGCATCCCAAAGTACCCTAAGCTGTTCTGACAGCCTGAAATTTCATTTATCTTTTGAGCTTAAGGTTTTTTTTTTCTATCTAGCTGTTTCCACTGCTACATTATCAGTGTGAACTGATACATAAACTGCTAAAGCAACCAGAATTCTGATTCTGCAGAAGCAGGAATGACTTTAAGACCTTTAGTCTTAAAGCATGCAGCAGTTCATAGCTATTCTTATGCTAGAGAACAGTGMATTGCATTCAGCTTTCACAAATCTTAACTCTGTCTCTGAAATATGAATCATACATTTTTCTAATAGTCCAAAATAAACATCAGTTGAATTTTACACTAGTGCAAGTATGTTGTTTGAATAATGCTTTTCCTTTCATCCTTCCACATCAAGGAAATTAAAGTGCCCTACATAAAGACAGACACGATAGAAGAGCTTGGAGATGCTGATTCCCCTGAATTTGAGACGATCTTCGTTGTATCAGACTTTCAAGCTCCCATCTTTACCAACCTCTGCAAGGCAGATTGCCGTGTCATCGGGCCCCCAGTCGTGCTGCACTGTGCACAGAAAGGAGAGGTGAGTAYTTCCTGCAGAAATCAGCTGAGTAGTTCTCTGCTGCAGTGAGTTCTAAATGTTCACAGTAAAATCTCTCTTGCTTTTCCAACCAGTTAGAAACATTCCTAGGCAGAGAAGAATTTTAGGAAAAGTGAGTTTTTAATGCTGTGTTAGAATATTGCATGTATTGGGAGAGTGCAGGCAGACAGTGGTAAGGCTACATYTGCTGCTGTAGTTGTGGGAGTTGCTGATCACCAGCTGGGATTGTGCCATTAGGGAAATGCAGCATACAAATGATTCTCTGGTAGCCACTTTATATTTCTGAAAATTGTAATGCAGAGCAGATGTATTGGGAAGGAAATAAAAGGATGRATCTCTACTTGTGGAATTTGGGGWTGCTCTAGTTACTGTATAAGAATGCTGTCAGGTGTRGAGCTGAGGTGTAACAGAATATACAGACTTGGAGTAGTGTCTGCATTTTTAATACTGGAAATAACAGTGCTGTATTAAAGGTAGGGTGAAAACTTTAATGGCAGCAGTATGCTGTTGACTAAYAAGCTTTCTTCTTGTTTTCAGGCTTTACCTTTCTCCTGCCGTCCATTGTACTGTGCAAGTATGTTGAACTTGGTACTGTGCTTYACAGGATTCAGAAAGAAGGATGAATTAGTAAGACTTTTTTTCTTCTTTGGATTGGTAAAACAATGTTAAGTATATTTTCAAGATACTCTTCTATCACCCAGAGGTTTAACCATGGCTCAAGCTTGTATGGGGAGAATTAATTGTCCTTTTGTTTGGTTACAAGTCCAGAGGCAGCATTATTTGAGGATGGGAACAAAACTTAGTTCAAGTCATTTTATCCATGTCACTTTTGGTCTCTTTTTTGTTGAGTGACATGAAACTGCTCAAATGTAATAGGGCTTAAARATTTGTAAATTGAGGCTTCAGATGAGATGATGTTTACCCAGTGGTGTCCTCTTTTTTGTACAAGTGGTAGAACGGCCAAGTAAAGACCTGTAGACCTGTTCAGAGCATTTGCAGACATCTTACCTTGCTGCTATGCTGTCGTGGTATCATGCTATCAGAATTGTACTCTGTTGGATACTCTAGTACTTTGCTTTTCTGTTTCAGGGAGGCAGTTGCCATCTAAYTTACCTACTGGACACCTGGGAATCAATAATATAGCTCCACATCTTAATCTGAAAAAAAAAATCCTARACCAAAAGCCTTTGCCTGGTGTTGGGGTTAGTTAGGTTTGGTCTAGAATTGACTTAATCAGCAAGGAAAACATCCTTCAAATCTAATGTGTGAGAAAAGGTGAAGGCATTATGTATGATGATCATGAGMGTACTGGTGGCTTGGACAGTCTTCATACTACACAGCAAGGCTGTATTAAATGTTGAAATATAAAGAAATGTTTATAGCTGATACTCAAAAGAACTCTTTCTTCTGTAGATATGAGCAAGTTTTTTTTTAAGAACAGATCAGAGTATTTGTGTTTCTAGACATTTAATGTAACCTTCTGTGACTTACTTTGTAAACCACTTTTGTACTGCTCTCACTCTTCAGAAGATACTGAAAACTTTTCATCTTTATTTTTCAGGTTAAGCTTGTGACCTTGGTTCATCATATGGGTGGAATTATTCGAAGGGACTTTAGCTCAAAAGTTACTCATCTGGTGGCAAACTCAACACATGGAGACAAGTTCAGAGTATGTAAGCCTGAGTTGGTGTTTCATGGAAACYTTTGGATTTTGGCTCTTGTAGACTAAATTTGTTCATTATACTTCAGCTCAGAAGCTGCTGTTTTTGCCTGTACTAGCAGCAGTAACTTGTAATGGTGAATTCATCTCTGCCTGGTGTTGAGCTTTGGCATGTTTTTGTCTCTGTGGGAGATCTAAATAACATAAATTGAATGCAGAGATTTTGAAATAGACAAATATAGCAAATAACAAGATTCAAAATGRTTAAGTRTTGATGCTATCAGTAGTTAAGACAGTGATGAACAAGTGTAYATGTATCAACAAGCCTGCTTTTGTCTGTCCAAGCAATAAACTTGGAGGTAACTTGCAAAAAGCTTTAGTACTTAATTAGTGCATATCTTCTTATAAAAATTATTTTCAACTTGCTATGGATGAGGATTCARATCTTCCTTTATGCATAAATAGACATCAGTGTGCTTTTCTGATTCTGAAAGGGAACCACTTGGGACATTYATGATCAGATTAGAAGTAAATTAATTTTCTTGTTTTTTATACCATTTAATATGACATAGCAGTGTCTATGCCCCTTCACTCTCCCTTGTTGGTAGGATGTGGWGCTTTTTTCCTAGTTTGTCTTAATAATCTTAGAGTTTAAAGAGAAGTCCTATTTTCTGTTCAAACACTCCTTTCTGCCAACTCAAAGGGGAAAAAGCAGGAAAACTCTACAATCTCTGAAGCAGTTATGGCAGTTATACCTTTCAAATAGTCACCTTCTCTTTGATAAAAGCAGGCTGGGATATTTTTCTTCATAGGAAGTATCAAAAGCAGAAAAAAGATCCCATATTCCACTGGATCAGAGATTTGATTTTGTGTTTTTGTGAGTGATGAAGGATATCAAACGAACAAAATGGTGCACTTTTGAGGAAATGTCAAAATAGCTATTGATCTGATMTCCTAGTCACTGAATTCATGCATTCTAACTCTGGGGAGCTGCAGTTGGAAACAACTCTTGAAGGAATATGTTCACTTTTTGCAGGAGCTACTTTGAAAAGTAAAAGGAAGGTTATAAATGTTTCTTAGCGTGGGAAAGATTTAAATAGAAATATTTGGTACAACTTATGATTTTCCTGTTTTGTAGATTGCTGTAAGCCTTGGYATTCCTATTGTGAAAGCTGAGTGGATTTATAAGGCGTGGGAGAAAAGGAATGAAATGTATGTGTTTATTTTCCTTCAGTCTTCACCTTGCATCCTATTTACCTAAAATGTGAGCTTTTGCCCAAATACTGACATAGCCCTGATTTAATGACCTTCTCATGCAACTTCTKTCTTTCAGTGATTTCTGTGCAGCTGATGATGACTTTAGAAATCAGTTCAAGGTTCCTCCCTTTCAGGATTGCATGTTAAGTTTCCTGGGATTCTCTGATGATGAGAAAGCTAACATGGAAGAAATGACAGAAATGCAAGGTGGTTGTTTATGAAAACCTACGGGGACAATGGGGTGGAGTTTCTAATGACAGGTGCCACAGAACTGTTAAGTGAGATATTAATTTCTAACAATAATATTCTTTAACCTTGCTAATTTGCCTCTTTTTCTTTTTTATCTAGGAGGACATTATTTACCAGTTGGTGATGAAAGGTGTACGCACTTGGTGGTTGAAGAAAGTACAGTAAAAGATCTTCCATTTGAACCTTTGAAAAAACTCTATGTTGTAAAGCAAGAGGTTAGTGCTGAAAATTCTTGAAAGAATGCTGCTATGTAGAACTGTGTGTGCCATGTGCCAGCATGTAGCTTATTCTAAAAAAAAAAAAAACTCCCATACCAACTGTGTTACTGTTATAGATTATTTTGAATATTTTTAACTTTGGGTGAAGCTTTGCAATGTGTTCCTAATGTGTGTTTCCTTTTCCCTTTAGTGGTTTTGGGGGAGCATTCAAATGGATGCCAGAGCTGGAGAGTCCATGTATTTATTTGAGAAGGTATGTTGAACACTCACACAATGCACAGCAGGTATTTGGTGATAAAATTATCATTCACAGAGTGTGGGGCCAGAGGTCAGATAGTTTAAAGCAGCATTTAAGTTCCAGATAATCCATTATAAATTTTATACATGGAATATAATTGGGAATTAAACCTTTTTTGTGCTTCCCAAAGGTTTTACTTTTAACGAATAGAATACTCTGGTTTCCATTTTAAAAATKACTTCCTTAAGAAGTTTCCTTTTGAGTTGTGTGTTGATCTCTGTAATTAACTTATCTGTGCACTGAGTTGAACTGGACATAGAGGATAAACCCACTAAATGGAGTTTTCTTTTACTGCAGTCGGAGAGTCCTGACTTCAAGAAGTCGGTGTCCCTGCTTTCCCTGAGCACTCCCAACAGCAACCGCAAACGGCGCCGTTTGAAAGAGACTCTCGCTCAACTGACCAGGGAAACAGACATGTCCCCATTYCCTCCTCGGAAACGCCCCTCAGCTGAACATTCCCTCTCTCTTGGGTCCTTGCTGGATATTTCCAACACTCCGGAGTCAAGCACTGCCAATGGAGGTAAAGCTAAAACCTTCCATTCAGCCACACCTATGATGTTTAGGAGCCTTTGTGTGCAGTTGGAAATGGTGGGGTAGGGAAATCTTATAGGTTCTCATACAGATTTGCAAAGTAATTCCAGGCTTTTGCCATTTCGAAGTTTGGGAGAAACAATTGGGATGAAGAGTTCAGACACAGGCTAACCTGCATCATGTCATCACAGTAAGCATGTTCATTTTTGAAGGAAGAGATTTGGAGGTGATAAATAGGAGGTACAGTCCAGTGTTACTCCAAAATTCTCCAAACACTCTGCTGGATATCTATAGTGAATTAGCAGCATAGTCAACAGTAARTAAATCATCCAAAATACTCTCCATAGGATACTTGGAGAAAAGAGAACAAAGATTGTTTTCTAAAGGAGTCATAGGGAAAATTCCTGTAGAGCCCACTCCTAGATCTTGGGAATGTTCTGTTGAGGCAACTCTATTTGTGCCAGCAAACTGTCATGTSTAAAACTTCACAAGAATATAGATTRTCAGCTGGATTTTAGTGAATGRACMRTTTTAAATATCTCTGCTTGTGGTTCTTGTGGAAGAAAGGAACTSCAAAATTTTGGTTAGTCAAAAGCTRATACCCMAGTRTTTTTAAAAGGTCYRGYTCCATCATATAGAGGATGTATCTGGAACTACTGGTACTTTAAAAAGGCAAAATCAAATCACGTAAGAGCTCTCAATGAGGCACAACCTGTAAGTGATAATTCTGAAGGAATTCGGGGAAGATCAGCCTTATTAGGAGATAGTAGTGCTCTTGTTAACCACTGGTAGGGAGTTTTCTTCTAATCCAACAGCAGCAGATAGTCTCAGAATGTGTTATTTTGGAAACAGCAGATTAAGGCACTTATTTCATTGTTAACTATGATGGTAATGAGCTTTGATATATAAAAAAAGTCAATATAGGTCTCTGAGATCAAAGACAAGGCCAAGTGTTTAAAACTCAGGAAATGTTCCAGGTCCACCTTGACTTTAGTTTTAAGGGAAATTACTTTCTTGAGTCTTTCTCCTACCCCAAAAGAATGAAATGTAAGTTTTGCGTGCAAGGGCTTATTTTAATAAATGGTTTTGAGCTACACATCTAATGCAAGGGTKGTAGAGATGGTTGTTTACATGGCAAAGTGAAAGTGGAAAAGCACTTTTGTATGTAGTGCAGGGATAAGTAATGCTCAGCACCTAATTATTTCTGATGAATAAGGTACTAATAATAGGGTCAAGTTRTTGACCTGCCCATAAATGGTTTATTAGTTTCAGTCTAATTTTGAGAAATAATATATTACTGTTGTTCTRTAATTAGGCTGTGATAAAGAAAGCCATTTTCTTGAAAGAGCTCTGATAACTCTACAGTATAGCCTTTAAAAAGAAACCCCAAAACTTCACTTAAAAAATCTGAGGGTTTTTTTGGGGGTTTTGTTTTGTCTTTGAGAGTGAGCTTTTTTTAGGGATTCTATTGTAATAAAGTTCTGTTTTCTTTTGGGAATATCTCTTCATCAGAAACACCAAAATCCTGCACRAGGCCTTCCAAAAACTCAACTCCTCTTCCTCTCAAGCAATCTGCAAGATGGCAAGTTGCAAAGGAATTGTATCAGACAGAAAGTAACTATGTTGATATTCTGACAACAATAATTCAGGTAAACTGATTTTAAAGCCAGTCCARGTCAATTGTAATAAGGTATCTAGTGTTTACATCAATTGGTATTTTCAACCTGTGATCTGAAGGCATTGAAGGGCCTGGGTGCATCAAAGCTTCATAGGAAGATGACAATATAAACAGTCTCATGTAATTTTACTGACATAGAAAAATACTCAGTTTCAGGTTGGAAAATGCAATTTCTAATCTGGGATCTGCAGTGGAATTGCAATTTATATGGAAATTACAAGTGTCAGGAAAATGGGATCTTCATGACTAATGTTTTAGATATTAGTGAATAGAGGGAGATGGCAGAGGAAAAAGTCTTTTTTGAAATTATCCCAAGAAGAGCAGAAGAGCAAACAACTTACAGGAAGAGCCTAATTTCTTGAAAGTTTATTTCCATTGCAGCTGATTATCTGCTTAAAGAATGAGCCAACATGTGTATGAGTAGAAAAGGAAATGAAAGGGGGTTATGCTGTAGTGATGTATCAAACTAAGTGTTTGTATCTTCAAACCACTCTCCATAACCCACTTTGCAGAATGGAAGCCTCTCAAGATAGTGACTGKAGGAAATTATGATCTAGAAGGAAAACACTGTTGCTTTCATAACTTGCTAACAGAAGGTTTGGCAGGTGGGAGGGTATTAACATTTTTTTCTCTTAATTCATCAGTTATTCCARGTTCCATTGGAGAAGGAAGGACAACTTGGGGGACCAATCCTTGCACAGGAAGAGATTAAGACCATATTTGGCAGCATTCCAGATATTCTTGATGTGCAYACTAAAATCAAGGCAAGTTTCACCTTCTCCCCTGTAGGGGAAGCTTTCAGAGAGATTTTGAATATTTTCTGTATGTTTTCAGTTGCATCAGCTATATAGGTATAGATTCTTCCTGGTGCTGATATATRGTCTTTCAAATAGTGGCATATGCCTGTTTCTGGCAGCATTTCACAGTAGGCTTTTAAATAAGGATACTTGCAGACTGCCTGCAACTTGGTGATTTGTTTGTACTTTTTTTTGTTGGTTTTTTTTTTCCAACCACTGGGGTCCAGTCTAGTTAATCACACTGGGTATTGATGTGTGCCCACTGAGACTGAGATGAAAGTAGTGTGTGTGTGTACATGTCAAATTGGAGTCACCTGCAGCATGCAGTGTAGGCAGAGTTGCTTTGATGTAGCTGYTGTGTTTTCCTTCATCTTTGGTATAATAAAGATGTGAGCAATGGCAGCAACAAGCCAATATCAGTGATGACTTCTTTTCACTAAGGTGAATTCTGAAGCTTCAGTCCTTATTAGCTGTTGGTGACTGAGCATGATCCTTATCAAGCTGATACAGGCTTAACAGCTTGGTCTCACTTTCTAGACCAGGGTGTCAAGGAAAGTGAGAGAAATCTATCCTAGTTGTATTTCAATCCCATCTTATGGACTTAAGTCCTAGATTAGTTGTGCAATCTTGATTAGAATTGATTAGACTGTTTTTCTGTGTATCTATTTTAATATTCCTCTGAGATGTGTTGTGTAGTGTGTTGGATGCAGCAGTGACATCTTATTGCAGAGTTGGCTAGTCCTGATGTGCTGCCAGGCTCTACTTGCATTGATTTACAAGTAYATGTTTTTATTCAGTAAGGCAGAGATCTCTTGTTTTGAGCCCTCAGTAGGCTGGRGGGGCTGAATGTGAAATCGTACAGCTTTTAGAAGTGCCTGTTTTGTCAGTACAAAACACACCTAATGATATATATTTGGCAAAACATAGTTCTGCTTAATGACTTTACACAGTTTATGCTCAGCTTGTTTTTTCCCCCCATCCCTGCATGTATTCTAGGAAGACCTGGAAGATCTTATGATAAATTGGACTGAAAGCAAAAGTATTGGTGATATCATTCTMAAATACGTAAGTTCCTGTTTCTTTYTTTATGCTTACAACTATTATCTTGCCTTACAAACGATACACATTAGGAGCTAGTAAACACAAACAAAGCACTACTGAGAAATCCAATTTGTATCATTGCATTTTTTATTTAGACTTTCCAGTTGAGTTAGGTGATACACTGAAACTTGATRTGGATTATACGTGTCCATCCACTGGTATGAGGGAGTAAAACTGCAAATATCTGCAGTCTGAGAACAGCAATTTGAAGCCGACACTCTTTTTACTCAGACATTAGAAGTCACTTTCTGTGCCATTAGCTCTCTGCTGCCCCTGATCAATAGTAAAGAACTGGGAAAATAACTTTTCACAGAAACTTCATGTGTTCTTTCTTCAAGATTTGAAATGTGTAAGTGAATAAGGACTCCTTGTTTTCCAAAGTACAGAATGTGTGGAACAGGAGAGCTAGGTCTGGGACTGCAATGGATTTGAGCATAATAGCCTGCAAGGTATCTTGTGCTCTCRTCAAAATCTGATGATTCTGAGACAAATAGTGCTTGTCATTCAAAAATTTTCAGTCTAAGGAATTACTTCTGGTGGTTTAAAAGGAGATTGCAGGAACTGGTGAAAATACCTGTCTGGAATTTCCAAAATTCTCACCAAAAGTGTCTTGCTAGGTGCGAACCTGCCTCCCCCTTGAGCTGTTCAGCAGCTTCTAAGATTGTCACTTGTTTGCTGGTGAGAGCAGCCTGCGTTTAATCAGTAGCATCAATCTTGGGCATCTGGCATGCAAAAATGTCTTAACTTGTTCTGAGAACACGTATGGGTTTACAACACATTTTTTATTATTCTTTATTGCAATGTGCCTTTGAGCAGCTTTGTATAGCTCAGGGCATATGAACATATGTACAATGATACATAATATGTAAAGCAGAGCCCTAACAGTTGTTTCTTTCAGTCAAAAGACTTGTTGAAAACATACCCTCCGTTTGTGAATTTCTTTGAAATGAGCAAGGAGACGATTACAAGATGTGAGAAACAGAAGCCAAGGTTTCATGCCTTCCTGAAGGTAAGTGTCTGCAGAACAAAGTCTATAACATGGGGGCTGTTACCATGTAGTACTGAATGCAGTAGATGGAAGAATGTGACGTTTTGAAAGCTTGAAGGAATGGGAACATATCTTGGTGAGACAGAAATAAGAAGGATTTGAACTTCAATCCCTCAAGCTCCTCATATGACCCTTTCACAAAAGGTCTGAGTTCCTCCTCTGTTAAGCAGCTTTTAAGGTAATTTGATTATATGCATTTTTGCTGGAAAACGTTCCTCTCAAATATGTCTTCCCTTTCCTGTGAAGGTTACTAGAGCTGCTGCTTTGACTGGTCCCCTCCCTGAGTTTGTGAGACTTGTATTTCTGAAGTAGTTTTTAACTTTCTTTGGGCAGCTGTGAAGCTCCAGGGAGGTAGAATTTCTCAGYGTTCTTGTGACTAATGAATAGGAGCCTAACAGTGGAGATCTAACAGGAAGATGATCTTCAAAGAAAATTACTTGAAGATGAGTCTTAAGACTCCTGAGCTCTTCAGATATGTGTGTACTCTTAATAGTGCAGTGTAGCTTTAACTCCTATATCCAAATAATCAAGTAATCACACTGACAGATTACAGCTTGTGTATTCTGAGGGACTATGAATTACATCCAAGTATTGATATCTAAAAGATGGAGAACAAATAAGAGAACAGGCTGTCCCCTGTCCCACTCCACCTGAAACAAGCACTGAGGGGTTGATATGGACACTTTAAAGCTAGACATTCTGAGAATATAAATCACTGTACCATTTTGAATGTGGTATTTAACATGCTCTTGTTAATGACTGCGGTAAACAATTCTSACACTTGTATAGCAATGCTAATTTCAAGAAAGGCAATTTTTCTCTATCTTKTGCTTTTCTTGTGTGTGTATATGTGGAAAAAAAAAGTAAACATGATTTCCTTTTTCCCAGATAAATCAAGCTAAACCTGAATGTGGCCGCCAAAGCCTAGCTGAGCTTCTTATCCGTCCTGTTCAAAGGCTGCCCAGTGTTGCCCTACTGCTAAATGGTAACCTAGTGATGTAATTTTTATTAGTTTGTGAAGGTGTTGAAACCACAAGATAATGTCTACTTTTGTCATCATTAGCAACAACTTTTGTCTAAAACAAGCCTGATTATGTGAGTTAACCATGATTACTGGCAGTCAGTGAGACCCACTACTGAAGAAAGAATACTTCTGACTAAACTCTGCTTGTTCATACATTTGTATGCAGGATACAGATAGAGGAACAGTTTGCACTGACAATTCTGTCTCTTCAAGCAAGAATATAATTGAGATTCAAATGAAACTAACACAAGCTAGAGAGCAAATCATATTGACAAGGCTTAGTTTCATATGTTCCACCTGGTATCGATTACTTGCTGTAATAATGATTTTGTTAATAAAAATAATTAAAAAAATCCACATCCCCCTTTGCTTCAGGTAGAAAAAGACTGCTATGCTTGCCTCTGCACTTCAATTTAGGTTTTTTTAATAGTTTAAGGGTTTGTTTTTTGTAATGTGTGTGTTTGGGTTTCTTTCCTACAATGAGATGCCTGGACAACTGCTGCTCAGCTTAGTATCCCTCTTAATCAGTGCTGTTTGGACTCCAGGATAGATATGATTTCTTCAGTCAGCTTATCTAAACTCAGTTTAAACTTCAGTTTTTCATATTTCTTTTCAGGCACTTGTGATGTGTGTAGAGTTTTTATTTCTTTATTTTTTTCTTTAATTATAGATATTAAGAAACATACAGCAGAAGAGAACCCAGATAAAGTAACTCTAGAGAGAGCTATTGAATCATTAAAGGAGGTGATGACGTAAGTCATGTTGATTCTGTGAAACATACTGTTAAACATACTGCATTTAGATCCCTCTGTTCCTTCTAAATTGCTGTCAATGTTTTGTTGCCACAAGTAACAGAAAGTAAACATAACTGTATGTGTTCTTCAGCCTCCCTTTGGCTGCTGTTGTCACTTTGGAGTTCTGCCAGAGCTCTGACAGAATCTGTGATGTTGTTACCCAACACTTGCACCTGAACCTTAGCTGACTCCAGGCCTGAGCAGGAAACCTCCCCAGTGCTCTGTTCTGATCCAACTCKTATTTCTATRTGTTCCCTCTAGAATGGAARAGATGGGTTTTGTCTTTACTTCTGTGCATATATCCACTGAAAGGACACATTTTTGGTGGGAGATTAGTTTCTCTTCTGGCCCTGCATTAGCTCTTCTTGGCACTGTTCCATGASTTAATTAGCTGAAAGCTGAAGTTGCTTAGATTGTAAGTCTCACCTCCTTTGAAGTGTAGTGTGTCTCYAGCAATGAGAACTCCTGCATTAATTGGGTAAATGTTTGTCCAGTTTGAACAACATCTTTTAAATTGTAATTATTCTTGCATTTGCTGCTTGGTGAGCTACAACCCTGATTTGGGGGGATAAAATGCAGGCTGTGAAAAATGCACTGTGTCTACCTCAAAATCTTGCAGGGTAGGGGAGAGGAATTCTATACTAACTGAATGGTGTGTCAAGTGCTGGTAACATGACAAGAAGAGTTCTAGGGCTGAAGTTTCTTATGTGATTGCATAAGATGGTACTTGGTATTTGGCTATTTTGTCAGGCAAATGTGGAAAGTGCTGCTATATAAATTCTATCCCTGAATGTTTAGCTTTATTATGTTTGTATGCCTTAAATGCAGTGCATTCTTTTGCTGTTGCTTGGTATAGAAGATTAATATAATATGCTTCCCTTAGACACATTAATGAAGACAAAAGGAAAACAGAGGCACAAAGGCAGTTCTTTGACGTTGTCTATGAAGTGGATGGATGTCCRGTAAGTAATTTCTCCAAAGCTGCAGATCTGTTAAATGACTGCACTATTTTCCCTTTGCAAAATTGTGTGAAGTTGCAATGCAATGGTGCTAGTTTAAACAGATTGSCAGTGTTAAGCTGTAAGAAAGCAGTAATCCAGCCCTTGGACGAAATGCTTAATGAGCTTTTTGTTTCTGTCATTCAGGCCAATCTCCTGTCCTCTCACCGGAGCTTAGTTCAGCGTCTGGAAACTGTRGCACTCGGTGATGACCTCTGTGACAGGGGAGAGCAGGTCACACTCTTTCTGTTCAATGATTGCCTAGAGGTAAGATGACTATACATCTCATGAACTGAATTGTAAAAGGCTTGACATTACACAAGAATATAAATAAGTAAAGTTTAAGAACTTTTGAAGCAGAATTCAAAGTCACAGATGCTGATAAGTCAACACATGCTGATGTTTCCTTTCCATTAGCTACTGTGTAAGTYCATGTAGTCATGTCTGTGTGGCTGAGAGTGTTAGTGTAGCCTTTAATGTCTTTGAGCCAGAGAAAAAACATAACACCAGCTTAATATGTTAAAAAAMTGTTTACCTGAATAGCACTTTGAGTAGTACCAATAGATGAAAAAGTGCTGGAGTCCTTGGCTCGGCACGTTTTGTAAACTTTTAAAGTTATTTGTATTTAATGGGAGTAAATAGTGGACCTCAATAGATCTGTCTGTTGTCAGGCTACTGAAAAAAAATCACAATGAATGCCTTAGACCAAATATTGCTGGGCCACTTGAAYTGTAGGCAGTGAATAATGAGAAGTGAATTCCTTTAAGATTTATGTGGTAGTATAGCAAGATTTTCTGTGCCTTCCTGCATAGTAGAAGGTAAAAAAAAATAGAAAGGAAAGGAAACATCTTGGAAACATCTTGGAAGAAAGATCTTCCAACTGACCCTATCTCTTCTAATTTAACTGCAGATTGCGAGGAAACGGCATAAAGTTATTGGAGCTTTCAAGAGTCCCCATGGCCACACAAGGCCTCCTGCATCTCTCAAACATGTTGTTCTCATGCCTCTCTCTCAGATCAAGAAAGTCCTGGACATCAGGGAGACAGAAGGTCTGTGTGTTTTGAAGTGCTGTGTTAGATAAGGAAAACTGTTTTGGAGTGTGAAGGAGAAAGTTCTGCAGTTGTAGGATGGAATGTTAAGGTGTATTTATTGTTTGGTATGTTAGGTATGTGATTTTAGTAAAAGTTTCTGTTTGATTCTCTGTATGAGKTTGAGAATTCCCTGCACTGATACCTTGTGGCTTTTCAAGAATCACTGCAGGATGCYGAATTTGGCAGGACTGCTAGATGGCATTAGCATAAGCCAACCAATTGGCAGTGTGAGATAAACAGAGTTAAACACTTGGCAGCTCTGGATATTACAAAATAAAAACCAAACCTCAAACTTCAGCCTAGAGCATTACTGGCCAGAGAAAAGTGCTGTTGGTGTGAAACCACATTTTCTTTTAACTGGTGATGATAATGCTCAGGAGGAGCTGTGCTTGGCATCTTAAAAGATGACTTAATTTCTCTGTCTGCTTTGCCATACTGCTCCAGCTTTGATAGTGACTTATGAAGAATCTAGTCACACCAGTTTCTAGATTGCTATCCTGGCAAGATTTGGTGTTTCACTGTAAGTGATGATATGCACATCATCTGTTCTGCTTTTTCTCTGAGCCACCTGAACATAGAAACTCAATTATAAGAGAAATGGCAAAGAGGGTAGGTGAGGCAGACTACTCTGCAGATTATTTGGTGAATAATCAGCTCTTGCATGAGCTGCTGATTGCAGCCTCTTGATGATGGCTGTGGACAGAACTCTTCCATTGCAAGTGGTACAACAGCTATTGTGTAAATAAATACAATGCAATTTAGTGGAAATAAATAAATGCAATTCAAAAGCATTTCACCAAATCATATTGTCTGTATCTCCAGCTTCTGGCAGACAGAGGGCTAACTCTTCTGAAGGTTTCTCCCTGAAATATATTTCAAAAAGACCATTATTTTTTGTATTAACTCCTTGTTTTTTTTTTAATGAACTGTAGATTGCCAGAAAGCCTTTGCCTTAGTTGTGAGGCCACCTACAGAACTCAACAACAAGCTGCTGAGCTTCCAGATGACAACAGAAGACCCTTGCAAGGAGGACTGGCTGAAGATGTTRTGTCGGCATGTGGCCAACACTATTTGTAAAGCAGATGCAGTGAGTATTTTGGAATCATGTTGCTGATTGAAATATTTCTCTTTTTTTGGCTTTAAGCACCTGAAGCTAAAGAAGTTTATAGAGGACATGTCTGAGGTAAAGTAGGGCAGAAAACATTTGTGCTACCATGTCTGCAAATGAGTGGTTGAAAGGTATAAAGGGAAACAGCCTGGAAGTTAGTCTGTGCAGAATCTAAGTAGTACTTAGAAATCAAGAATCATACCCTTTCACCATCAGAAATTAATTATAAATAATTTAATTCGGCACTAACAGATCTAACAAGAATTGTATTCAGTTTCTTTCACAGTTATGTTCCAATTTACAGCCCCAGTGTTATGAATCATTTGGGTTGGTTTAACCCTCTGTTAGGTTGAATTTTTTTGTTCTACACCTTATCTGCACCGTAATGCAAGAGACATGAAGCATCTTCCTCTCACAGACAGAAGTCTACAGCCTTCAAACAAAGAAATAACAAAAAGTGAAATAAAGGAGGCACTGGCATTGTCACATTTCTAGAAGTTCAGTGTGTGGGTTTTCTGCAGTCAGAAAACCACTCATTTGAGAAGTAAATCCTCTCCAATTATGGCAAGAGGCTTTCAGCTAATGTTTTAATTATGTAAAAGTCTACGCATATCAGTCATCTCAATTTGCTGAAAATACGTGCAGTACATATAGCTGAAGCTTCTTTGCTGAAGCTAGAAATGTTTTATGTTCTGCAGTGTRTTCCTACAGTGCAATATTTGGTTGTGATTTCTAAAGACATGCTTGTTACAGGAGAGGTAATTAAGTAATGAAAGCAGCGTCTTAGTTTTATTTGGTTTGTCTTGTGATCTAGGACTTAGGAATAAGAAGCTTGGCTTTGTGATTTTCCTTCATTTTTAGGTAGTGAGTAGGAAAAGTGCTGATTTGGAAGTGTTAATTTATTTTAGCTTGTCTGTTGCCTATCTTCAGTATTTAGTGTGACAYATAACTTGGATTTTTAATAGAAATTAAACCTTTGTATGATAAATGTATCATTCCTTCTTGCCCCAAGACATTCAGAATCATATGATGACAAATTGTAACCTACTGTGCTGAATCCCATTAGTTATAATTTCTGTAACTACTGCTTTGTACCAACTATATAAYACTTCTTTCTTGCTGATTTAAATGTCAAATTGAGCTTCAATTTAAGCTCTTTTGCCTGATTTTAGAGTTCCACAGCATCATTGAGTGAGATAACMTTGACTTTGCCACCTGGTGGCAGCAAAGGCTTTGGCTGCTCTTCCTTAGGATTTGGGAATGGCCGTAAAGCTGCTGGCTGATGTCCTTCTGAGATTTTTTTTTTAATACAAAATTATTTTCTCAAAATAAACACACAAAACAGAGAAAGAACTCATCCCAGCAACTTCCCATTCTCATGTGTGCCCTCTGTGCCCCTCAAGTTTTGTGAGTAGGCAGCTGGAGATTGCTTTGCACATACTGGAGTTTAAGAATGAGGCATGGGAAAAAACCTAAAACTCGTGGCTATTCTGCAATGTGTATTGCACTTAAAGACTTCAGTCTTAATGTTTGACAGCTGGAGCTCTCAAGATTTCACTTTAGAAATGTGCTAGATGTGTCAGTGGAATAAATCAGTGTTTATCTCGGAAACTCCCTAGGGATGCCTCAGAACTACTGCCTTTAATTTGGTCAACCCTGGACTTGAAACTGAATCAGACAAACTGAATGTAAAACTACTGATGAAGTGGTTTCAGAAACTGATTGCACCAGCTGTTGATCTAATGAAATGACTTGAAAACAAAGAGCTACTGAACTGTAAAAAGAGATAAATAAGGGAGAATATGGCAATTAAAACMTCTAAATCTGATCTAATGAACTAGAAAATTATGTTTTGACAAGTGTTGATGTTTGACCATTATTAAGAGTATTTTTGTCCACAGGARAATCTCATTTATGTTGCTGATCCTGATTCAGTTGAAGTAAATACTAAAGATATGGACAGTACTTTAAGCAGAGCATCCAGGGCAATAAAGAAAACATCAAAAAAGGTAAGATACTAYAGAGACAGTAAAAGTCATTATAGTCAGAGAATTGTGCTAGCATTCCTGTTTCAGTCAGTTTGTAGTATTTACAGTCGTGACAGGAAAAACTTAATCTGAGCTAAAACGCTTAAGTATAAGCTCCTTAAAGAAGGTGAGGGGTGTTTAAGGTTTTGGAAYATCTCTATATAGTCTTAAGTATTACAGTCATAAGTATTATGTAGTCATTTTTGAGTCTGTTATGGAACTTATGTTGTTTAATACTTTGAATCTTTTAAATGGAATCCARAATTGAGGGGGGCCTGACTGTGGGGAACCCTAGGTGGCCAGACCTTGCTTTGATTTATCCTTGAATCTCTGCCCTTCTCTCCCCCTGCCATGTTCTCATATTTGGACAGAATGAGAAGAGCAAGGATGATGGGGAGCCTTTAAAAGTCAGATCATTTTGGGTGTGGGTGTTTGGCTGGCTGTGGCACAAGTCACACCAACACTTGATACCATCCTAGAGATGTTCAGAATTTGAATGGTAGCCTGTATAAACAGTAGTTGTTACAGCCTGGCTCTTGTCAGTGTGTAATTACTTCTCCTACTCCTCAGGTCACGAGGGCCTTTTCTTTCTCCAAAACACCCAAGAGAGCTCTTCGCAGGGCTTTGATGTCTCACAGTGCAACAGAGGGGAGGAGCCCCAGCTCTGCTACCGAGGGTTACATCGGCAGCCGCATGAGCAGCACCTCCTCCTTAGCGGTGAGTGCTTTTCTGTGTGGCCAAAGAGGGCACCTTCTTAACATCACACTTCATTTGTGTCAGCTGCTGGTCTCACTGTAACAATTTCAACATTCACTGTGAGGAAGAGACAATTTTTAGCTGCATTCRTAGACCTATTATTTTTAAGAGCTGTTGAATGAGAAGTGCTGCTTGCTGAAAATGCAGAAAAATCTTGATGCACTAGAAACTGGGAGTTGCCTTATACATTCAAGTTGAAAAACCCCAGCAATCTCTTTTGCTAGGGATGGAATAGGTTTCCTCTTCTGAGAGAGGGAGAAAGTTTCAACACAAGTCCAATATTGGTTCATGCTTTTGGTTTTGAACACTACATAGAAATGTGGTGTACAACCCTGAATAATAAGGTGAACATTTCAGCCAAAGTAGTGAGATGACAGATATCATGTGAAACAAACTGGGAAGAAAGGCTAGAGAAAAAAAATGCTGCAGCCTGCAAGTTTTTAATAAAACAAGGGAATTATCTCCTTATATATGTTTAAGGAACCTTGGTAAAAAACTATGTTGTTCTACATATTGCAACTCTTCTGCTATGCCTGGCTGCCTCTTGCAGATTTCTTCTACTGCATTAGACCAAATTCAATTTCCTGATACAGTCTAGTAAAGCAGACTGGATTTGGAGGAGTTTTTTCATCATCTTTGCTTTTTATTAGAGCATTTGAGTAAATTTGATGAGTAAAGACCTGCTTTCTAGTCTATAGTTTGTGGGACAGWAGGCCAAGAAAAGGGAATCCTGTTCATCTTTCCACTACTGACTGATGTTTCAGTACTTTAATATTGAGAATTCATGTTTGAATGGCCATTAAATTGTACAACATAAAGAACGCTGCTCTCCCACATGAGAAAATATGAACCAAGAAGGTAGCAAGTGTCACCATGGACTCYCTTGCTTTAGAGGTAATAAAAGAATTAATCAGTGGGGCTAAAGCCCAGTTCCCTATAGAGAGATTTTCTTCCTTCTGTYATGATTATGCCAACAATTGTTTTTGCATTCTAATTGTCTTCATTTTGATACAGCACTGTATCTCATTTCTCATGAATTTGCGAGTCATGTACTTTTCTTTTTGTGCATGTAAAAATATTTATTTTTCCACAAAATCACAGAAACTTGCAGTAGCAAAATTATGTTYCTGTTTCAGATTCTTCCCAGAGCTCTTGGACCTCTGTGGTAATAAGCTGCAGCTTGGCAGCAGATCATGTGTTGTGGGTTTTTTTTAACCAATCCCACACACCACTGAACTTGCATAAAGCCTTTTTGGTTGAATGATAAGGTTGAAGGGAAAAGAGGTTTGGAGTGCAGCCCCTCAAGTTGGAATACCAGTGCAGTTGTTGAATAGAAACTAAAACTGCAGGAAACCTGTCTGAGTCCATTCAAAGTCAAAGCTGTTATTCAGACATATTGTTTATTTAAATTAATCCTGGCCTGTGCTTCTGTAGGAATTTTTCGGTGTAGGATAAAAACCAGTAAAACTATCAGTAAAGCTTGGATGCATTTTTTTTTCCTTGTTTGGACTAACTCTCAAACCCTTCCTAATTGTAGATTGCTCGTTSCTCTTCTACGTGCAGCCTAAGTGGATCTGTCAAATGTGCTGTTAATGTTCATCGCTCCAGTTCTGTGGATTGGAGCTCTCAAAATTCCAAGCCTCGACCTGTGCTGTGTCCTGGCTCTCCAAACACTCGTCTTTCAAAGGCAGTGGAAGCAAAAGCYTCTTCCAGCTTGGAAAGCTTAAATGGTCATGCCTTGGACAGACCATGTGCTCTCCCTGTTATTACTCCCACTTGTGCTGGTGCTGGAGATGATAACCGGTGTGGTGCTGGAAAATTCTGTGCATCAGATCCTGACTGAAGTGAGCAAGAAATCCTGAGTTCTCTAAGCTAAGAGAGCACGGTACAGCTCTAATGCACAAAGGCCTTAAAATGGTGTTGGGTTCTTCTAYAACATGCTCTAAGGCACAGAGTTGGTTTCAACACTCACATGTGGTCTAGTTCTATTTCTGGTTCTGGGTACTAAGTTTATTCTTTCACAAACACTTTTCAATGGGATTTTTTTCTGAGGTTTTTTTTTTTCTTAATTGATGTACAATTTAATTACTTGTTGTTTTAGTTTGGTTGTACAAGTGGCCATGTAGCTCACTGGCCAGAGTTCTGAGGACTTTAATAACTTGGTTGCAGGGAAGACTTGAGAAGCTCATTTTACCTGTGATTATAGTTTTTTGTTCCCCTATCTGTAAATGGAAAAAATATCTGGTATAAAATACTTGAGAGTCTAATAAGAGCTGCTCTATAAAGATGAGTTTAGGATTTAATTTTCAGATATTCATATATTGCAAATGGAGGACATGCCATAACAGGCATAAGACTTGCTCATAATGAAGTATATATCCTTACCTACCCAAAATATCCCTATTTAAAAGATTCTTGAAGCATGCAGGTGCACAAGCTGCCTAAATACCGTGACCTGTTGATATGCTGAGAAGCTCAGCKGGGCTGTAAAGAGCAACAGAAGATTGCTTGTGAAAGTATCTTGAGGTCTAATGTGAAAAGAATATAAAATCTCAGCTAATCCAAAGAGGTTTACTTTTAGTGCTACATATTGATGTGTTGGTTCCACTGTAATTAAGTCTCAGAAGCAGCTTATTCTCCGAGCATCAGAAAAGTCAGCTTCTTGCCTAGTGTGTGCCCATCCAGGCACAGCTAAAGCAAGCTCTGACAAATCATTGCAATGTCTGTTGCCTCCTGCAGCCAAGGAGACGTGTTCAGCATCTCATTTGGGGCTCAGAGCTGATGATAGTACTGAAAGTTGTAGGATTGGACGGGGGAGCTCTTTTTCTCTAAGAGATTATCATAGTGTATCTCACCTTCATTTTGGAGGGAGATTATTACTGCAAAAAGTGATGCAAGATGTACACTAATACTTGTTAACAGCTACTCTTCAAAAGCATGTTCTTGCATTCCAAATCTCTGAAGGCTGGAAACGTGGAAAAAGTCTTTCTTCTTCAGTTTTTAAAATAAGTGATGTTTTCTGTTCAAGTGCTAGAAATGCTGAATCATTAATGTCAAAAGCTGCCAATCTTTGAGATCTTCTGCACTCACACGTTCCATGGATGATATACATACAACAAGGTTGAGAAATGACTACTGCACTATTGATATTGGGATCAATGATCAATAACTTTTTTTTTTTCCCCAACAGGGTGTTCCTTCTCCTTCCTTGGTCAGCCTTCCCTCAATCTTTGAAAGGAGGAGTCACACACTGAGCCGATCAACAACCCACTTGATATGAGGCAGGAGGAAAGGACTCTGCTCTGTGGGAGTGACTGAGAGGCAGGTGGCYGGTCAGTGACCTGTTACTGACATTTATGGTACCTTAGTCATTAGCACTTAGCAATGATTAGCAAAATGTTAGCTAACACTAAGTTAATCACAAGGGGGTTTAGTTGAATTGCAGCAGATTAACTTGGCCTTCATTTAAACACAAAGTTCCTTTGTACAGTTTTATTTCATTACCAACATAAAGGAAACGTTTTCTTTGACGGAAATCCCCTCCAGGCAATGAACTGGTTTGTTTGAAATGAAGATGATGATCACATAATTTACTGTTASTTTGGATGACTCTTATGCTTGCCTAACTTCATCTACTGGCAGAGCACTCTAATGTTTGAATTGTGGATTACTAAATGGAAATATATTATGAAGTACCTGACCTTTCATGTATGACAGTTAACCTGTTGTACAGCTGCTTATTCCAGATATTTTATAAATGTAATTGTTCATAATCACAGGACTCAATTCTATTTAATTATAATCTCCTGCAGCCTCACTGTAACACWGTGGTGTGAGGAGCTTTGACCACCAAAAATGATCAATTGAATTTTTTGTCTTGCTTTGAAGAAGTCTGAGGAAAAGAATTACACTTCTGTTTAGCAGGGTTGTTAAAAAGCCAACYCCCCACACCTTCCCCATACTTGGTTAACAAATTGTTATTTAAAGCGTGGAATTATTGGTGTGACATTGTAGCTTGAGGATCCAATTTTGGCGTGTCAAATTGCAGTGTAGTACTCCTGAGGCTTTTATGCTGCTTTCTCATGTATTTATGTCTTCCTTTAAAACTGTATGCTCACTTCTGTCATCTCTGAACAGTTTGTAAAGTGCAGTGCACTCTCACAAACTATCTAAATATGTAAATTTCTGCAATTCATTAACACTTCAACTGTCTGTATTAGCAGGAGTTCACAACTTCTGGTCTCTTTAAGCACCTGTGTTTTGTCTTGTATCTATATGTAAGTAGTGATGCTTTTGAATGTGTCAGACTGCACTGTTTTTTTTTATATCTCTTTTTACCAATCTAAGCAATGTAAATAAACTGTTTAAAATAACACTGCTCCTGGCTTTGCTAAACAGACTTGTATGAAAGTTTACTTTTTTATGTGGGTAAAAAGAAAAAGGCATTGCTGGGCTTTGGCCTACACCTGTACTCTGATTATCTATGTAGTTATTTCCAATAAAATATACCACTTCGTAGGCCTGAATCTTCTTCTTTTGTTTTTTTTTTTCTTAATATATTCGAAATTCTCCTCTGGATCTGTGTGCTTGGTTTTGGGKTTTTTTTGTCCTTATCCACTCAAAATAACCATCTGACCTGAATAGGCACTGACACTTTTAGGGTGGATCTAAGAATGACACTATTCAATGAATACTATGCTAAAATCCAACAGCAGTTCTTGATTTCTGTTTTTTTTTTGTTATTTTTGGAAGGGCATCTTCAACTTGGTAAATTCTGTGCAAACTTATGGCAATATCTGTCATTGCTACATGAATCCTCTTGGCCACTGCTTCTAAATTGCTGATTGGAGGACAGCTGTCCAAGGAAAGGGTTTTCTGCTTGGTGAGGGGATGGATAAGGAAGCAAAAGCTTATTTGCTTGCTTAAAAAAAAATAGAAGAGCCCCACTGAGAAACTCAAGAAGCCAGCAGTGGCCAAGAGACTGGAGGAAGCCTGGAMTAGAGGTTGGAGCCATTCACATACATAGAATTCATAAATATGCACTCACAGCAAACTATTAAAGCATTAGTGGCCTCACATGATTAATCTTTTATAGTTTTTGTTCAAACAGAAAAGGTGGAGATCTCACAGCTGCTTGAGAGCACCTGTTTGCAAATTTGTAGATTCAACAGGACAGCTTGACCTGTGCTTTGCAGAGAAAGAGTTGCTGTTTCAAACAGAGGGGCTGCAAACTGCGAGATGTGGATGTTTATAACCCCTGAAAGCCAGCCATCAGAGACAAAGCAGGGGCAGCTAGAATGTACTTTAAAAACACAAAAGCTGTTGAAAGCTGAAAATGTTGGCTGAGTGCTCCACGCAGCTGACATGGGAAGGGTGAAGGCAAACTGGTGCCACTTTCTTTGCCTTGGGACCGGTTTGAAGCACAGGGCCAGAAACCTGCTCRCTCCCAGCACTAAGGAAAGCTGAAATGGAAACAGGAACACCATGAAAACAAACTAATTAAACATGTTTAGTGAAATAGATGTCACTCTGTCAGACGTTATGCAAACAACAGTCATTTTTCGGTAAGAACATTGCTGCTACTGAGGGCAGAATTTTCAGCTGGCACAGAGTATCCTGTCAGCCTCTATACAAATACAACCAGCCCTTTGTATTCTTAATTTAGGCAGTTAGAAGTGTAATTACCACCCTACCTTCAAATTGTAATTAGTTTAAACTGTATTGGTGCCTTTATCAGCTGATCCCTAGGGTTGCACTCACTTTAAGTACTGAGCCAGACCACAGGGGGAGCTGCCCTCTGTTTTTGAAGTAAGTTATGTATAAAAATATGTATGTTTGTGTATTTATATAAACAAAAGGCTCTTACAAAGATATATGAAGCAGCATTTTATTTATACCCCCTGTAGGGAGGCCTAGTGCAGGTATTTTTTCTTAGTGAAATTAAGGAGTTAAAGTTCTGGTATTTCTACTAACCTGGGTAAAAAATGGAGAACATTTATACCTCATTCCCCCTCTTACCCCCAGCTCTCAATTTCCTTAAAGGCTGAGAAAGAAGGAAGAGGCTCTTGGCCTAATACTGGAATGCCCAGTTTTGCTGCTCAGCTTCAGGMGTGCTGTAGGTAAAATGCTTGGAGGAAGTAAAATGTTGCATCTACCAAAGCCCAGAAGCAGATTGWGCTCTGCTTCTCCTGCTCAGGTTTCTCTGGYRYTGTGAAGATGAGGGGAAAGGAGGAYTATTTGCATTTCTCTYCCCTCAYCTCCTCCATCCAGAGATCCAGGAAAATCCAACAACCTGATAAGGACACCATAAATTAATGGATTCTTTAAAGTGGAGTTGACTAGAACACAAATAGCATTACCTGAGCTCTTGGGTTGTGTACAGTTAACAAAGATGATGCTTATTAATGTTAATTAGTCAATGTTTGGACATGCCAACTGCCTCTTGTTTCACCCAAGCTGTCATTGATGCAGTGGCTGTGTTGGATTGTGAGCTCCTACACRCTTTCTGGTGCTCTGTGATGGCAAAGATGGCATTTCAGTGGTTTCTCCAATGTAAATATAAGCATAAATGGTTTTGAAAATGTGCTTTTTTTTTCTCTGTTTCAATGGCTCATGCATTAGAGTTGGTATGGCTGACAAATCAGCACTGATTGCTAATTAAAAAGCAGAATATATTAAGGAGTTTCACACTTCCACTTCTGCCTGTGACTGAACCCTGGCTGTATGAGTGTGTGCTAGGGAAGCTCTCATGGATGCAGTCTAATTACTTGCCATTTTTGCTTTGACTTAACAGTTCATGAATTACAGTAACTCTGACTGACAGATCACTGCTGATTACTAATTAAATGGCAGAATTTGCCTTCATGCACCTCCAGCTATTACCCCCACAAAAAGTGACATTCCACATCTTAACAAAAAAAAMCTTTTTCTGTGCTTGTTTGTTGTGTAAAAGCCGATCTTATCATCCCTTTGGAAAATAAAAATTGCC